AAAAATGTCATATTTACGTAATAAGCTTTATCAATTATGCATATTCATCTTAATGATAAACACGCTTGATTAATTTAAACTATTTTCCGCTAAATAAATTTTATTTCCCGACGCTTTTTTACCCCATTGATTAAGACGCTTGAGAACACCCTTAATAATAAATAGGGCCATGCCTATAGGTATATAGGGCATGCCTTAATTCAAGGCATGCCTCGTTTCTTTACCCGTGTCCTGAACCCTATAGACTAGCGAAATACCGTAATAGATGCTCAAAGGATATCAAATGGTATTATTTCAAAAATTATGATATATATTTATTATTATGCTTATAGTAACTTGACAAAGTAAACCTATCGATTCTGATGAAGTTCCTCTTGATAAGTATATATATTACATTATAAACTTACTGTATTACTTATTTTATAGTATATACTTAGATTATTAAGTTAGTTGCTTTAATAACTCAAAATATGCAATTAATATCATTTAATTTCAAAATTATTTTATTTATTTATATAAAGTTTCGTGTTCCCAAAAATCTTTATGGATTACTAGTATCTTTAGTAAAAATCCTTATGATCACCGACTAAGCATGCAAGAGACAAAATGTATCGGAAATGTTTCGGGAATTAAATTTTAATTAATGTTTCAATAATATCACCATACCTTATTGATTTTTATCTAAAATGTTAAATTATATCATAATACTTGTGTACTATTTTGATCACTATGAAATCTCATGTTAATATGAACCAAGCTTCTGCATATTCAAGCAGTAATAACGAGCTACTCTTTTATAGTCAAGAGCTTTAAAGCTTTAGCTAGCCTATGTAATTGAGAAGGTTCTCAAACACCTTGCTCAATAAATCGGAGGCAAAATGGGAGGCAGTTCACTTTTTTTCATAGAATTTCTCTAAATGGTTAAAATTTTTTAAGTCCACCACGAATTTTTTTAACTAAGTCGTTATAAAATCGATTAACATCTCGATTAATACAAATCTTATTAACATCAGAAAATTTTTTAAGCTGATAAGTGATGATTGCTAACAATTAATCGATTATTATCGGTTAAACTTAATCAATAACAATCGACGGTGGTGTTTGCTATCGGCAAATATCCCTATTGATTTTAATTGATAATGTTAATAATCAATAGTTTCTAATAATCGATTACTATCGATAAATTATTTATCGACAACTATCGATAACTATCGATAACTATTGATAACTATTGATAACTATCGATAACTATTGATAACTATTGATAACTATTGATAACTATTGATAACTATTATCGATTTCTATCAATAGGCTTGATAACTATCGATTTTTATATATCGATTTCTATCGATGGACATGATAACTATCGATTTTTATTATATCGATTTCTATCGACAAGTATAATAACTATCGATTTTATTTATATCAATTCCTATCGACGGGGGTGTTACTAATCGATTAATAGCCTTAAATAGCAATCGATAGTTATCAGTTTAAAAAATTTCAGAATCCCCTGAAAAGATAAAAATAACAGCTCCAAAACAGACTCATTCTGAATAATACGCTTTACTTGTTATACTTGGAATTTTAGCGCTATTTAAAGAATTCTTGATTTAAGGGTTTTCAATGGAATCATTGTGAATAGCTCAGCCACTATATGTTGTCAAATTTTAGTTTGTACATAACGATAACATTATTACTTTTTATCACATTTATAACGTAAGCATCAATTAAACATTTGCTGCTTATCGTTATTGTTATTTTACGTATCATTGAATCATGCAAGCTTTATTACACGTATGGCTCAAAAGCATGATGTCATAGACATACAGTATTTGTAATTTTAATCCAGTGATTGGGATCAGATGATTTTGGTATCAATGATTCAGAATCGAATGATACTCAAATCATGCGATTCAATTATGAAGTACAGTATTGTTAATGCGTCACAATTGGTATTGCACTACTGTATAATAAATGTTAGACATTGAGACTAACCTTGTTACTCTGGAGTAATAAACTGAAACACCAATTCCAAAATCATTCAACTGTTGACACTACTAGTCATAATATCCATTCCTTAAATAGTGATTTCAGTGATTTCGTTCAACACACTAAAACCCAAAAATTCCGGTGATTTTCCCCTGTGCCGAAAATATCATTGGCTAATCTATTTTAAATTACCACAATATTTAAGATAAATAGCTTAATAACAATAGCAAATTAACATTTTCAAATTACTCAGCATGGCATATTGTAATATTAATAAAATTAGAAACGTCCGAACTAAATAGAGATATGAATTGGTGATCATCTCATCACTCCGGACAATTATACACATAATGTCTAAACTAATAAAATATATATCGATACGCATTCATACTACGTTAACGACGCATCCTTTGTGGGCTCAATTTATTAACCAAATTTAGCAAGGATGGTTTTAGTGTAAAGGTATGCAATTAACATAATGTGGTACATATTTACTTTGTTTTTAACTGAAATGATTAGCTTTAAAAAGATGTGACAATCAAATTGTAGTATCGGGATTTTTTACGTAATAGTAACACCGCCTCATCTCATAGTATTGCAATTTACTTAAAGAGAAAAAAAAGGTATCTTAAATTATTATACATATAGTTTTTCTTTTTTTTTTAATAGTGCATGCGTTAGATGATAAATTATAATTCAGTTTCTAACTTGTAGTAATCTTCCTGCATATATTTATTAGCCGGCAAAATTAGTACCAATTTATTAAAAATCAAATGTCTTTATCAGGGCCGGAACCTTTAAGTCCTCCTCCACCTTTCTCAGATACCGAACACACTAATAATTTAGTAGTCGTCTCACAGGTTGTAGTTTCAAAGTCTATTATCAAGTGATTTTAAAATTTCTACTAAATTTAATAATACTTTTGTAGAATGTGGATGAAATTGATCAAGCGCCAGCATATTCGTTCTATCCAACATATGGTTCATGCTTCGAACTTAAAACAATTGGAAAACAATTAAATAAAAAGGAAAAATATTTATGTGGAGACATACTTGATAATCGATACTTTTTATTAGGGTCAAGTAGTGGTTTAGAATTCATTGATTTGTCTCTTCCATCCGAACAACAAATACCAGAAAGACTTATTGAAGCCGTACGATTCAAACAAATAGAAATTTTGATAACTCAAAGATATAATGCTTTAATTGCATTGGCCGGAAAAAATAACCATATTAGAACTTATAACTTGAATAATTTAAGGTTGTTGATAAAAAGTAAGCAAATATCACGAACACCAAGAATACCAAGAACCCCGAGAACTCCAAAGTCTCCTAACAGCCACGGACGAGCGAGGTCAGTGGATTCTATATACGAACCCGATTTCATTTCCGATCGACCTTATTCTTCAACTCCATCATTAAGACGTTCTGTCACATTGGAGACATTAAATACCACATCAAACAATACATTTCCAGATGCTGATTCATCAGTTCCTGTATCGAACGCAAGTTCTACTACATTATCTATTTCTTCTAATCAAAATACAAGTCAAGATACAAATTCTATACGTAGAAACGAAGATTCTACATCTTCTTTAACTTCTTATACTTCACATACAAATACTTTATTGACATCTAATAGACGCAATATTAGTAATCAGAATCCATTATCATTGAAAATAAATTCGAATTTATCTACAGAAGTTCGTAATGCAAATTTTTCTGCTCAATGGACGCTCGATTACTCAAAATTACCAAGCACAAAAATGGCCCTATCATTTGTAATACGTAGTGGACCTACGAGGACATATTTAACAGTAATGTCAAAGCAAAACATTTTTTTATTTGAATTGGATTTTGGGGATGTAGATCGAAAACCAGAATTCATACACACAAGAACTTATTGGTTACCTCAAACACCTAAATTTATTCAATTGTGTATGCACGAAGATCAATTAGTGGATATTGTAGCAGTATTTCATACTGAAGTAATATTAATCGGTGTTGATGATGCAAGAGTTCGTGAGGTTTCCATTGATCCACAATTACAACCTGAGTCTCACAATATAATTCCGTTACCTTCTTTCATTCATGAATCTTCGCAATGGCAAACATTCTCTCAACTTCCATGGATTCCATCCTTAGATCCTGAGTTCGTATCCGACAATTTCACAATTCCACCACCTTATGATTCTACAATTAACGCAGATCCTTCAACAATGTTAAATCCTATACCAATATTTGAGACCGGAAGTATAGATTCATTGCAATATACGAGCGATCTGCACTCATTGTTTTTCGCAACATTTGGAACAAAATCTATGATCGTAGATTCAAAAGGGAGACCATTTTCTACTGTTGTATTTCAATGGACTTTTATACCATTACATGTGGAATTTTTGAAATCAACCCAACTTGATGGTGAATCTTTCGTTGTTGGATTTGGTAAAAATATGATAGAAATAAGAAGTATAAATACCGGAAGAATTGTAGAAAATGTTGTTAGAGGAGTTGATGTACAATATTTGGGTAGAGGAATAAATGGGCAAGGTATTATCTGGGGATGTTCCTTTAATAAAGGGACCAAAGGAATTTCTTTGTATCGTTTAGAAGGGCCAGGAATATAGTACTGTACACTAAAATAATAATAATGAAAATAACTACCAACGTAAATATAAGTTCATAAACATTCAAGATTTGGATGCATGCTATTAGATGCATGTTATTAAATGCATTACAATTAATATATTACATTTTATAAATATATATTCTTTTTTACATTCATTACAAAATAAATGGTTAGCATAATGTAATATCTAATCAAATGAACTTTGTTACGTATAATTATATAAGGGCATTAGGGGTATTATGACGAAGTTAACAAAATTTCGAACGTATCATGTGATTTATCGATTAGAATCGAGTAATTTTGGTATCATTCGATTCGTCTCACTGAGCTGAATCGATCGTTATAAGAATTCGATTCTGATCACTAGATCCCGAGATATGTTAATCTAAAGTTTCATTAAAAAAATAAGATTTCTTGTGCTAGAAGATATTGTGACGAATCGTAAATATCTCGTCAGAATCCGGCTCTCATCAAAAGGAATCTAATGGTATAAAAATCATTGGATTCTGATCACGGGTCGCGAGATATTCATGATTCGTCACAATACCCTTTACTATAGTATTCTATATGCATTCTACATGTCTAAATGGCTTAAAAATGAATATCTCGTGGCTCGATGATCCAAATTGGGTGATTCTTATATCATTCAATTCCTCTCAATGAGAGGAATCGAATGGCATAAAAATCGTCCACTATCATAAAAGTGATTATATGTAATATAATAAAAAAGTACATTAATTTCAATACCTCATGATTTGGTGGGCATAATTAAATAAACTTATCGTTATACCTCTCATTGAGACCCTATCGGAATTGTGAGCGGTATGTTATTATAACTGTATAACTTAATAATATTTGATCATTAATTACACTTGGAGTGACTGAGATTATAACATCATCTTTGCATCCAATCCACAAAATGAATTTCATGTATAGAAAAATCAGAACGGTATCTTTTATATATTTCATAATGGTCCGAATTAAGCTTAATTTAGGCCGAAATTCGAAATTACACCTCTGGGCGTTATTTCATAATGGCCCGAATTAAGCTTAATTTAGGCCGAAATTCGAAATTACACCGACCGGGGTAAAATCGCCACCCAAAAAAGTTTCAATTCATCATGATATAATATTAATAAATATTAATTGATTCAGAAATGATTTTGTTTCTTTCGATTCTTCAAAATGTAAACAATCATTGCAATCTTTTAAAGACATAAAATCAAATAACACAATATTCAAAAATACACCTTATTCATCATAACCAAAATTTCCACTAATGATAGACGAAAAAAGAAATAAAATTATAAAAACTAATCAGGCAAATGCAATTACACTAGAAAATCTTATGAATGCTCTTCTGGAAGACTATAACTGATTTCTTATTTGAGCAAAAAGTTTTATAATTCTGAATCCAGAACACAACAAAAAATTATTGAAGATAACATGATTAATCCAAATAGTAACAAATGGATCAATAATAAAAATTTTGAGCCATTGCATAAATTGGAGGAGGATTATAATTATTTTAAAAGACAATAGAATATTCTAAATATTTAGAAAAATCGTAATAATAATACTTTATGACAGTAATAAATATTATTTTTTTGTCTATAAATTTTTTATTTGATCAAGACTTAATATATTTATCACGTGATAGTTGAAACTTTTTGGGTGGTGATTTTACCCCAGTTAATTACACCTCTGGGCATTAGAATTAGCTTTTTTTTATTCTCGAATTAGCATATCTATACATGGGTGCCTAAATTGCCCATTTTAATAAAATAGTAATTATGGTATTTAGGCAGCTGAAATTAGTTTATATAGTGCCGAAATTAATTTTCATATTTGCCGAAATTATTGCCGAAATTTTTTGAGCTTTTTTCATCAAACCACATCATATAATATAGTTATTTCGAAGAGTTTCATATAAAAAATTTTGCAATGCTAAAATATTTGCCGAAAATACGATTTTTCAAAAATAATTTAGGCACCCATATATAAGCATATCTACTGTGAATATGTACAAGACCTAATGCTTATACTATTTTCGCAAATTATTTGATATGATATGGACGTTTGTTTTCTATTCGATTTGTTAAAAAAAAAATTTCTGGAAAAAAATCATTCAACATTTATAATTCATCAAGAGCCCCTCAATTTTATTCATTTTTTTATGTTTCTTTGGCGAAGTTTTACTAGATCAATGCCATATCTATTACTATCATCCAATTATTTTTAGGGAACAGGTATTTTTACACCCTTGTAAATTATAAATTATTATGAAATTATAAAGATATTGCGATGTGTGATCCAAATATTCCGGCTTAAAATTGAGTAATGTAATATAGCACTTCATTTTTGCTGCAACTATAATACACTTTATGTATTATGCTTGTGATCAAAGGTATAGAAATATCAAAATCAGGTGTGAAAATACCTGTTCTCTATTTTTATTCTTCAGCACTAGATGAGACAATTTTCTAATAAGGGGTTCTTTAAAGTAGGGTAGATCAATCGAATTGATGATCTAGGATTAGGCAAATCAATTGATTATCAACAAAACTTTAAGTGAAAGTATCTTGACAACTACAGTGCCTGACAAAAGTTTTCTCGTACCTATAACTCAGCACAGAGATATGGTAGGAAAAAATTTTTTTATTTAAAAGTATATTAGAATGCATAAAAATTAATGCATAGTATAATTGCTCTCAGATTCAATTAGGGCTTCCACATGATGCTTCATGCTTTTTACCAAATTAGCTGCATACTCTTTAGGCAATTGATTTCATTCTTTTGTTATTTGACTCTTCAGACAACTAAGTTTTTTGATTTTTTTTTTGCCAGGTTCATTTTCATAAGTTCCTAGACATTCTTGATCAGGTTTTGGTTGGGTGACATTGAGAATTTCAACATTATTTTTCTCCTATATCTTTGCAATTTTTGAATGGTGCTTTAGGTTATTGTTCTGCTGCAAAATCTAACTATTATAACCTTTATCAAAAAGGTCTATAATAGAAAGTAGAAGGGCTGTTTTGTACAAGGTGATTATATATTATATATTAAGGTTATATGTAAAACAAACTAATCTTCTAAAGCCCAAAGAAAAAAAACATCCTATATGTGAACCTTCAACAGATGCTTGATAAGAATGAATTATTTTCTTTGCCCCAATAAACTACCAAGTCTTTTTAACTATTGATTTAAATGAAAGGTACTTTTATTAGTAAATATTATGGAATTTCAGCCAAAATCCTTATGTGTCTTAGCTTACAAAAGTCATTTTTTTAATGCTTCTCTCTAAGCAAAGACTTCACAAATTTTTTATAATAATAAGCCAACCTTTACCAAGACACTATTGAATAGTATACATGTGAATGTCTACATTTTGTTTTAGAAGCTTATAGTAGATTTCTGATACTGAGATGCCTTGCTAGCTTCAAAATCTGGTTGTCCTGTCTTTGGGTAATAGTTTTTTTGAAGACCCAACCTTGGTTTGTTGCTTATATTTTTACTTTCTTGCTATCTTTTTGCCTATTCTTGTACTATTTTTTTATTACAGCAAACCTTCTTTGCTATTTTATACATTGAGAGCTTGAAACTCTTTGGTGGCTGGTTAAAAAGGTAATTTTCATATCACTTATATAAAAGAAGAGACATTTTTTGATTAAAAATTGGGTATAAAAAGCATGAGTATTTTTACTATATACAATGCTCAAAGAAGTTTAGTATAATCTGCATATGCGATATACTATGCCTATATAAAATTTCATACTTCTACATATAAATTTTTAGAAATTACAGGTATGAAAGAACTTTTGTTAGGTACTGTATATAACTAAAATTTAATAGAAGTTTTTTATTTGAATTCTACAAATCTGTAAAATTTAAATAAAAAAGTTTATTATCAAATTTAGTTAGATAGTTGTTGAGATACCTTCTCTTAAAGTTTAAAAATTCAAACAATAAAAACTGTGACAAAAACTTTGAGCAAAACAACTATAAATTCTTTTTTATTTAAATTCTACAGATTTATAGAATTCAAATAAAAATTTTCATTGAATTTGGTCAAATAGTTATCAAAATACTTTCATTTAAACTTGTTTACTTTTACTATAAAATTGATTGGTGATAATAATTGATTCGCCTAACTCTGAATCATTAATTCGATTGATCTACCCTGCTTAAGGAACAAATAAAAATTGTTTCTTATTACCCAGATAGATAACTTTTTTTAAAAAAACTAAAATTTTTATCCTTATATGAAAAAAAAAGTTATAAAAATTTTTATATTAGGCCAAACAAAATTAAATAATTGTTTCTCATAACATAGAATTTTAGAAGTGGCTTACTCACCTGGCTTTTAATTTTTAAATTATAAAATTTTATATTTTTTTTTGTCAAAAATATTAAAAATGTATAAAAATTTTTATTAAAAATCTACCCAGAAGTATTTATAGTAAATAACTTACAGTTGTTTTTATAAATTCTAGAACACCTAAAAATTCTCTTGTTTTCTAGAATCTTTTTAGTTTTATCCTAGAAACTATATTGCTATTTCAAACCCTCAGTTCAGAAACAGTGATGTAGTTTCTGAAGAGTTAGGTAATTTATTGGATAAAACCAAAAAGATTCCAGTAAACAAGAAAATTTTTATATGTTCTAGAATTTATGAAAACAGCTATAGAAAATTTTGTATCAAAAATTTACAAAAGCTAACCTAGCTGGGTTATGAGAAACAATTACAGCTATTTTTATTATTCCTAGAACACCTAATAAAAAATTAGCCAAATAATTTTTTGGCTAATTTGGTTAAGTTATTTTCTTAATATAATAAATTTAATAAAAATTAAATTCAAAAAATATGATACTTCAACTATATTTGTTAGCAAATCATTGAAAAAAATTTAGAAGGCCTATCAACTCAAAAAATTGCAAAACACTTAGATGTTAGCATATCTTTTATAAGTTGGGATCTTGTATATTTTTAAAGATATAGTTGTATTGAAAAAATTTCATTGCTTTTAGGAAAACCATATTTTTTAAGCATGAATGATATAAATTATCTTAAAGTTTTAATGAAAAAAAACCTGACTGGTGCTTGTTTGAATTACAATCCAAGATAGAACTTTGGTTGGGATGTAATATTAGTATATTATTACTAATTGCAAAATGTTCAATTGCAATCGATTATATGTGATTGTTGTGATTTCTCAGCAACTATCTAATCAAATTTGATGATTTTTTTTTTGTTTGCATTTTATGAATCTATAGAGTTCAAATAAAAAAAAATTCATTGAATTTAATCAGGTGGTTGATAAGATATCATTGCTCAAAGTTTTTTTTTTAAAATGCATTATTTATTATAAATAGAAGCTGTATCAAAATTTCCTTAAAACTTTGAGCAAAGTTATTTTAGTAACTACTTGATAAATTTGATAAACTTTTTTTTATTTGAATTTTACAGATCCAAGAATTCAAATAAAAAAATTTTTATCAAATTTGATTAGGTGGTTGCTGAGATATCTTCATTCAAAGTTTTTAAAAACATTGTCTAAGCTATGCAAATTTTTTCTAAAACTTTGAGTAAAGATATCTCAGAAAACATCTAATAAAATTCAATAAAATTTTTTTATTGAATTTTATAGATAGTTATAATAATTCAAATAAAAAATTTTTATCAAATTTGATTAGATAGTTGCTAAGGTATCTTTGTTTAAAGTTTTTAAAAATATTATCTAAGCTGTACCAAAATTTTCCTAAACCTTTGAGTGAAGATATCTTAGAAACTACTTAATAAAATTTGATGAAATTTTTTTATTGAATTTTATAGATAGTTATAATAATTCAAATAAACTAATTTTTATTGAATTTGATTAAGTGGCCTCTGAGATATATTTGTTCAAAGTTTTAGGAAAAATTTGGCACAGTTTAGACAATATTTTTAAAAACTTTGAACAAAGATATCTTAGCAATCATCTAATCAAATTCAATAAAAATTTTTTTATTTGAATTCTATGGATTCATAGAATTCAAATAAAAAAAATTTTATTGAATTTATCAAGTAGTTGCTGAAATATCTTTGATCAAAGCTTTAAGAAAATTTTAGTACAGCTTTTATTTATGAATTGAATCTAGATGCCGCACAAAATTGAACTGGCAGATTCTCAATTTTGATTGGCTAAGAGCAACAATCAAAAAATTAGGCTGAAATTACTCATAATTTTACTAATGAAATCATACTAGAGTTGGCAAATTACTATAAATTTTATGTAATTTTACGTAAATTGATATAAATTTCAGAAATCAAAATTACATATAATTTTGATTATATGAATAATTTTGGCCAAAACTTTTATAAATCTGGTATTAAAGTAAGTATAAAATTACAGTTCTAAATATAATGACAAATAACTATTAATATTGGCAAAACTTATTTAATGCTAGTGCAATTATTATATAACAATACACTATTTAATATAAAGTTACATTACAATTTCATAAATTACAATGTAATTTCATATAACATAAAATGTAATTTATGTAATGCCAACTCTAAATTATAGCACCTATTAAATAAAAATTGTACCTGGGCCAATTTTACTATAATGTGGACTTATTTTTTAAAAAATTATATTTTTGTAACAAAAAATTAAAAGTTAATTCCGGCCAGAAATTAGTAAACAATTTTGTAATATGGGTCAAAATTTTAAAGATCCTCAGCCATTAGCCAATCAAAATTGAGAATCTGCTGGTCCAAATTTGTTGTAGCAGCTATGGTTAATTATTTATAATAAACAATACATTTTAAAAAATTTTAAGTGATAATATCTTATCAACCACCTAATTAAATTCAATGATTTTTTTTTATTTGAACCCTATAGATTTATAAAATGCAAATAAAAAAAAAATTATTGAATTTGATTAGATAGTTGCTAAAAAATCACAACAATTATATATAATTAATTGCAATTAGACAATTGGGCATGCAGTAACCTATAGATTTTATCAAAAATAAATCATTTTGCAAATAATAATAATAGCTTCTGATTTAGGTTCTTTCATATTAATAATATCCAATTTAGAATCTTTTCACTATTAATTTCTAAATTAGTTGTAGTTACTTTAGGAAAGTCAGATAACTCAAAAGTATTTGTTATGGATAATAAATATTCTAAAGAATCATTAATTGTTAGATTTACTGTTTCACTTTGATTTTGTTGATCATTAATATATTTTTGACAAATATTAATTAAGTTTTGATTTTTTGGAACCTCAACTTTAGTTGAATTTTTAGTCCAATTGATGAATTCTTGATTGTATCTAACTTTTTTAATATTAGTACCTATCTATATAATATATTTATTATAAAAGCTAATTTGATATCTGGAGCCTTTTTTATATTTTATATCAAGTTTTATTAGTTGACAAGAACAGTCTTTCCTATAAACTTTCATACAAATTAAACACACCAAGCATATTGGGCAAGCATTCAACCAAAAATTTAATAATATTAACATTACAGTAAAATAATAAAATAATTTGTAAAACAAGTATTATGGTAATTTTTAAAAT